TTTCCCCCCCCCCCCCCCCCAAACCCTGCTTCCCTTCGCTACGCCTCTGATTCAGTGTGCACTATGTTATCGGATGTTATAATTTAGTCATCATACATTTGAGTCACGTATTGCTAAATCAAATCCCTACTCGCCCCTCGCCAAGTTCAGAAACTTCTTCAGCCCACTCTTTTAAAAGAAACAAAACTTATAACCAGGAAATATATATTTATTTTCCGTCTTGTCACTGGAAAAACGACGACAATCTATTGCAAGGATCTAAAACTAGCATATTCCTGTTTCGCTGTGCAACTGAGCCAACCTTTAAAAAAAAAAAAAAAAAAAAAAAAAAAAAAAAAAAAGGAAAAAAAAAAAATATAAAAAAAAAAAGATGTGAGAGAGATAAAAAAATATATATATAAATATATATATATATATATATATATATATATATATATATATATACATATATACATATATATATATATTAATGTACACATCTATACATATATATATATATATATATATATATATACCGTGCCATTAACATAAGAAGATCGAATAAAACTATACTTGTAAAATTTATAGAAAAAAAAGTATATGCTACAAAAATAATTTTTAGTTTATTATTTAAGTCATATCACAACAATAGAAGCATGTATTACTTTTAAGAATTATGAACTCCTAGAAAAACAGATAATACATAAATTGCGTGCATATTTTTTTAATGAAAATCCTAAAGAGAAATAAATAATGCAACACATGTCCTATGAAAGTCCCGTAACCTGTCTACCCGCTCTATGTAACACAGCTTTTAATTGGTCGGCACACACAACATGAAGATCCTCGAGAGAAGAAGCGAAGTAATTAGCAGATTTCCCGATAGAAGCTATTTTTAGAGCCGGCTTTACCCATCAGAATTTCGCTCTGACTCGAAAGTAACACACCACTTTATTTCTACCGAGTTGGTGATACTATACCGTTTTAGAAAAGAAGGTCAAAGTTTTTGTGTCTGGATAGCCGTACAAGTGGAAACATGAAATTATATTACAGAAGACTAATAGTCTTTATGTTGTGTGATAACTAATTTTGGTTTGAGACCTTGAACTTTTAAACAAACAAAACTCAAATATATTTAATAATAATTGTGCTTATTATGCAATTTAAAAAACAAAACACCTGACAAAAATTGTGAGTTGAACTTCCTGACAATTTTAACGATCTATTTAAAAGACACGTTTGAAAAACAAGTATTAAAAATGACTAGAGAAATCAACACATACAACAAAAATAAATAGCTTTTATTTGTATATTTCCTGGTAGCAGGAAGTATACATTTATTTTGATATTCACGTATTATTATTTTATTTTTTTTTCTTTTGTGCTCTGTTTGAAAATACTAAGAGCTGTAGTTCATATTTCAATCATTTTTAAACACATTGCAAATCTCTATCGTTGGTCCATAGGAAGAGGGAACAGGATTCACTTATTTATTAAGACCCCCTCATCTCTTAAAGCCATTAATGTGTATCAATTAACTATCACCAAAGCAAATGTCTACTTACTTATTCTGCCCCCCCCCCTTTTTTTAGGTACGCATTTAGTGATACTTTATTTATTTCTTTTGAGGCGTGGCATTTTTTACAACCTGCAGATTTGTTTTCCTAGAAGCGGGCCGTCAGACATTTTGGCAAGTCATGAAGTGGCACTAACCCTCGCTGCATAATTGCTCTTACCAGATCAGTCACAATAAGACTTATCAATAATAAATGAAACATTATGAAATATTTTCAGCTCATAAAAAATTGCAAGTGGAAAGTCAACATTCAGTGCAGATGCGTAGCGAGGGTACTTGGCGCCTGGGGGAAAAAGATTCGTGCCAGGGGACAAGACCCATTTTAAAGCGCCCCTTTTTCTTTTTTTTTCATCTCTCAAACCCATTATTTTTACCAATGAAATCATATCAAAGCACAGTTTGCCGTCCCTAACTAGCTGGCGTCCGGGGACATCTGTCCCCACCCCCCCCCCCCCCCCCCCCCCAAACCCTGCTTCCCTTCGCTACGCCTCTGATTCAGTGTGCACTATGTTATCGGATGTTATAATTTAGTCATCATACATTTGAGTCACGTATTGCTAAATCAAATCCCTACAGCAACTGAGCCAAACTTTAAAAAAAAAAAAAAAAAAAAAAACTCTCTCAACAAGGGAGAAAACAAAGTTGTCAATGAAATACCCGCTTAAATTTTTGGTGTGCAGGTAAACGGGTTAGAGCCGCTACACCTGGATTCATTCAGTCCATGTTGGGCCATAAGTTATGAATGGTAGTTGGAAAAAGAAGGATGGGATAAAAATGTAAATACTTCACCTTATCAATGAAGCGCTCTACAATGCCCTCTCCTTGTACTTGGGACAAATATTTTGCTTTAAGTCTAACCTTATGCTTTGGTAATCTTGATGATTTCACAAGGAAATGAGTCACATAATGTTGATTTACAATACTGTTTTCCTTGCTATGTACTAAAAATTTAAAAAAACAAAAAAACAAACACAGTATTTAAAAATGATGGCTGAAATTATGTTTGAGGATGAAACTGTATTATGTTTGTAGGAATGAGGCGATGATCGTAGATTCAGACATGGATATGTTCAACGTTATAAGAATAATAGTTCATATATTTTGAACACTTTAATGATATTGATATGATAAAATGTATAAATATATGTTAATATATTTTTTTAAAATTAAAAGAGATGAAATAAACATAAGTAAAAGTCTTTCTTTCAAAAGGCGAGTTTGAATCCACTTAAAAGTCTGTAAGTTCACGTAACTTAATTTCTTTCAACATTTGATAAAAACGCGCTGGAAGGGCCACGAGATTTTTTTCCATACCCCTTTTCACTCTACAAACTTTGCAGTTATCCAGTCTATTGCCTTCCATACAAAAAAAAAAAAAGTGACGCCTAGGTGGACCAGCCCCCTCACTGTTTACCACGAGATTTTTTTCCATACCCCTTTTCACTCTACAAACTTTGCAGTTATCCAGTCTATTGCCTTCCATACAAAAAAAAAAAAAAGTGACGCCTAGGTGGACCAGCCCCCTCACTGTTTCCTACGCTGCTGTCACTGGCAATCCGTACATCTAAAATGCCCCGACACCCACGCCCCCAACTCCCCCCCCCAAAAAAAAAATAATAATAAAAAA